AGACACACTCGCAGGTAGATCTCGCAAGTAACACAAAGCTCCCCATCGCATGTAAAGCTGCACAAGGAAAATCTCGCAAGTAACACAAAGCTCCCCATCGCATGTAAAGGTGCACACAAGGAAAATCTCGCAAGTAATATACAAAGCTCCCCATCGCATGTAAAGGTGCACACAAGGAAAATCTCGCAAGTAATATACAAAGCTCCTCACATCGCATGTAAAAGGAAACACTCGCACAGGTAAAAAGCAGAACTCATCGCAAGTACATATACAAAAATCACCGTCGCAAGTAAACCTGCTTTGAGGCTTTAGGCTATTGGTGGTTTCGGGGTTACAAAGGCTTATATATACAGTATATGATAGGGATCAAATACATATATCACACAGAACAGGAAGCACTCAACCTCACACACACACACAAATGCAAGAAACATTTTTTCTCGCAGTCATTGCCCCTCTGCTGCCGGAAGGTTCACCCTTTTTGTGCTTCTCACTAAAAGGGCCAAAGATGCATTATGCTAAATGGCATTGTGGCAGATGTAGTGCTCTACATGTAAACGAAAGACATATAGAAACACACCGTGACTAGCACCCATGGGTTTTCTCAGATTTGTGGGAAAACAAACCACGTTTATATACAACATATATATGCTTGAAACTCAGATTGTTATATAGTCTACAAAGTTCAGAAAACCCAGGGTGCACATCACATCCCGCACTGAACACATTTTGGTTTTCAAACCCCCAGCGACTTCATGACGTCCTTTCGCAGCTTGTAGAGCTCCAAGAGCGGGATGCCCTGCTCGACGTAGGGAATCATCTTCTCGATCACCTCATGATGCTTCGGACAGCAACTGGAAATGATGCTCCTCAGCTTGCCGCCGTTATCGTAGTTGCGGATGTAGGATTTCTCAGAGTAGAACTCTACCTTGCAAGATCCGTACTTTTCGGCGGACAGCCATTTGTTAGACGGCGAAGTCGCCGCCGCCGGCTTCGGCTTCGCCGCCAGCTTCGCCACCTTCGTCTTCGCCGCCGACTTCGCCTTCGCTGTGGCTTTGGGCTTGGGGCTCTTCTCTTTCGGCTTGCCGGTGGCTTTGGGCTTCGAAGCACCCTTCTTTTTGGCCACAGCCACAGACACCGGCGGCATGAAAGCCATGGCATTTTTGAGGATGTCCAAGTCGCACTCATCCGTGGAAGAGATCACTTCCACATCCTTGGCCGGCTCAGCCCCGGCACCAGTCTTGATCTTTGCCTTTCCTGCCTTTTTGTTCTTTGCCTTTGTGGCCTTCTTCTTCAGGGTGCCCTTCTTCATAACGATCTTCTTCGGCTTGCTGCTCTTATGGATGTGCACAAACTTCTCCGCAAACTTCTTCGGCTCGCTGCTCTTCAAGGTGTCCGGAAACTTGGTCGGGCTGCTGTTCTTAAAGATTTCCGGCAACTCCGGGAACTCAGCATCCTGCAAAGGAGTAGGCTTCTCGTCACACCGAAAGGGAACAGGCTTCTCATCCTCCTTCACGGGAACAAGGGCCGTGCTGGGGGAATCAAGAGGCTTCGGGGCAAACTCCTGCACCTGCACCCTTTCCAGGCAAAGGTCAAGCTTCCTGATTGTATGTTTGCACAGACTTAGATAAAAAAGTTTGCAACACTTTTCTTTCTTCCGTCACACGAATTATATATATACAGCGAAAAAACACGAAAGACATATGTGCAGCCACGGCACACTTGATCCTCGTGCGACAGGGACCTGTAGACTTTCCGCTTGAAGCTCTCCTTCTGCTTCATCGCACGGAGGTGGCTAAGAAGAAGACGGATGGCGGTGTCCATCTTGTCCACAAGGTCCTCTGCCTTGTAGTCTTTGTGGCCTTCGAGCTGCAGGTTCTTTTGCTCGTGAAGGATCCAAAAGCTTCGGGTAACCCGCTGCGACAACAACTTCGTGTTCGGGGCGAGGCGAAGAAGGTCAAACAGCAGCCCAGCTGTCTTTGCCAACCACGGACCGTGGACGGCAGTGTGCCAAGTGTAGCTTATTGGCCCGCCCGGAGGGGGGCACAGTAAAGGCCACAGGTCCTTCGTCTTCTTGAACTCGAGAAAGCCCAACACCACCTTCGCCAGCTCCGTTGCTGTAATAAGCGGATCGGCAACCACTCGGTCCTTGGCATTTTTGCCCGTTGCAGCGGAAGCGCCCTCCGCCAGCTTGACCGAAGCTGCAGCTGCTAAGGAAGCCATGCTCGCAAGACTGTATATACTGTGTATGTATAGGATTTATGATTTCTCAAAAAAATGGAATGCATTTGTCTCTGTCTCCATCCAGCCTCGCACTTACCTCTGGGTCTCGTCTGGACCAAACACACAGCTGCAACGTCCGAAAATTTTTCTCACTCTCGGATCTCAGAAAAGTATATATATATATATATAAGTAGATCTCTCGCATGTAACCTACAAGAGTCTCGCACAGGTAAAGGTGGACTCCTCGCAGGTATAAACTATATTGTGATGACTCTCGCAAATGTACATGTACCGATTTCTCGCATGTAAAAAGCACACATCGCAAGCAATCCGCCGGCTCGACCCAGCACAGAATCAAACCGAGCTGCGATTTCAACATGGAAAACCATGGCTTAACAAGTATGCTTGCAACACAATTCTCATAATTTTATCTTCACACCTGACCATGCCGCACTGTACAGTCGCAGGAAAATCTCATGCAATCAACAAGCAGAACCATGATAAAAGAAACAAAACCAACCAAAATTAGCTTGCATTTCACTTCTTCAAATTCGGGAATGTGTAACCTAAAAACATGTATTTTGCAGTGTAAAAAAATTTACATTGCAGTGTAAATTTTTTACTATACAAAGTAAATTAATTTACACTTTTTTTTTACGTAAATTTTTTCGTAAATTTGAAGTGTAAACCAAGCTTTGTTTAGTAAATTGCTCGCCACCTAAAATTAGGTAAACAGCAGGGTCAGGGCATGTATCGAAAGCCCCTGCAACTGTTATGAAAGATGCCTAAACTTGGCTGTTGTACGAACCGCCCTCTGAAACTGCCTCGTCCGGGGAGGTTGGACTTACAGGGTGAAAAGGCTGCCTCGGAATGGAGGCTTTTGGAGGTAGATGCACTTCTTGCCAGAGGTGCTCCTGCCCTGCATCAGGAGCACGTATGGACATCGAGTCCTTTACGTGAGTGCATTGTGTTGGCGTTGAGTCATGCAAACTGTCAAGGCTTATTCGCTGACTTTGCTCAAGTGCGCACTAGATCCGTGACTGTGGATGCAGCTCCCACAGGGACTGCAATGCGCGCCAAGCACAGACCGCTGCGCCGCCAGCCTGCCAGAAGCCGTTGCAAGTTGAGACTGAACGTTTCTAGAGCCTTGCGGAAGGGGGGGCGGGGCCGCAGCGAGCGTGATGCGGGAACCCGCGTGCCAGAGCCGCCTGTTCCGACCGACATGCTAGCCCGACGCATGCTGGCTGGCAGGACTCTGTCCGTCTTGCAATCTTTGGAACGCTCCAGCTTGTTTAGAACGGAGTCCTCAACCCAAGCCAGAACTGCTGCGTTGCAGCCCGCAGTTGGTCTAGCTGCCAGCCTCGGCAACTCCTCCGTGCTTATCCTCCAAACTTTCCGGCGCCACGGGCAGTGAAAGGCGCATGTTGTGCCTGTTGTACCCACCAAGCACAAGCGCCCGCCACACAGCGCGACTCACGTGCTGAACCGGCGGCATGGCCAGACCTGCGACTCCGACCAGCTCCACGGCGTGGCCCTGCGTTGGCAGGTCGTGGGCTATGTGCGGGACTCCGTTTATCTGCAGGAGTTCACCCAGCAGCTGGACAATTCGGCGTCAGGGGGTAATTCGGCTTCGCAATTCGGCGTCACGGGGCAATTCGGCTTCACAATTCGGCGTCAGGGGGTAATCCGGCTTCACAATTCGGCGTCAGGGGGTAATTCGGCGTCACGATTCGGCGTCAGGGGGTAATTCGGCTTCATGCCGTAATTCGGCGTCAGGGGGCAATTCGGCGTCACTCTGCAATCCGGCGTCAGACGAGGCGGCGTCACAATGCGGCGTCACCAACAGCAATGCAGCTTCACCCATTCGGCTTCGGCTTCAGGTCGTTTCAAGCCCCCCCGCCCCCGGGTGCCCTGTATATATATGTATATATATAGCAGCTGTTAGCAGCTTCTACCTGCATCCTCCATGCAACCGCCATGGTACCCTAAATAGCTACCGTGCGAGACCCAACGCCCTTATTGAAGGTAGGGGTTTAGGGTTTGGGGGGTTTGTGGCAGTATGGGGCTAGACTATGCTAGGCTTGAGTCCAGCAGGACAAAAGGGGGTTTGCCGCAGTTGTGCTTTTTGGTTTGTCGCAGTTGTGCTTTTTTGGGTGGTGCCGGGGCTAGCCATAGTAAGTAAGAGTCCCAATATCATTGATACATTTGGCCAAGAGCACGAAGAGACAGACACACCATCTCCATTGTGGTATTATCAGTCGTCTAAGGGACAACGTGTGCAACCTCTTGCGCGCTTTCGGCTTCGAGACCTGAAACATGGTTTCCAGGACTGCTTAGGCAGTGTTTATGGGGGCATTTGCCCCTTCGTGGGCGGCTGTTGTTGCCGCTGTTGCCATGTAGCGCTTGGATGCTGGAGCCGGCAACGTTGCACGGCAATGCTGCGCCGAAGAGCAAATGCAGCACACGTTCAAACAGCCACTGACTCAACGCGTCGGCATCGTTAAGACTCATTAAGTACCGTCGAGGCTCTGTACACGCATGCCTCCGTTCTTGGCTTCATCCGATGTGCGCCCAGGTTTGGGCAGCCTTGCGCGTGGTTCCTGCGCACCCAGAGCTCCCAGGTTGAGCCTTCTCATACGACGCGATGCCGGGCTTGAGGATCCACCAAGGCAGGCTCATGCTGTGCGTATGCTGGCTTGGCCTTGTTGTCACATCCCCAGCCTTAGGGGGCACCGTGGCTTTGCTTACATTTGCACGTCCGCAGGACAGCAGAAGGCATGGATCACATTTTGCAAATGATGGAGGTGCGACTGGCCGGCGTGGTGCTATGTTGACTGCATGTGTGGCTGAAAGCATCAATTTCGAGTCAATCACATTCCATTGCGCAGGTTGCGTGGCGGCAAGTGAACACTGCTCGTGGCAGCACGGTCAAGCTTCTGCCTCAGGCTTATCTTTGTCACGTCGATTTCCTCGTGTTTATGCTGACGCAACAGGCTGCATGCAATCCACTGTGTGTTAATGTGTGTATCCGCATGTGATGTGTTTATGTATGCATTTATGCAATTATGTTTTGCGTGTATTCGACTTGTGCGCGGTATCTGCGCGATTGCATGTGACCGTGTAGGTAGTAGGTGCAGTGTTATGTGAGGTTGTTTGTCGATCTGTCTGCCCGCCTGTCGATGCGCCTACCATGAATCAATACCTATGTGTGTAAACTGTGTGTAAACTGAATATGTATGTCGAGAAATCTGTAAAATCATGTGCATGTTCATGTGCATGTGCCCTTGTCTCTCTTTTCGTGTGTGTGTGTGTGTGTGGAAACACTATACATAAATAAATAAACAAATGCACGAATGAGGGACTCTGCCACCAAACAACAAAGTTCAATGCGGATAAGGACGCTGAAAGTAACGTTGTCCACCTCGTACATAGAACCGAGGTTGGCCAACCCAGAGCACAATTTGCTGGTGAGCTTGGAATGTGCCAGGGACGCCTGCAGACACAATCGTTGTAAATCGAGGTGTCTGGATGACTATGCAAAAGGCAGCAATGCGGATCAACGACAGATTGAAAAAGTGCAGGACTTCATGCTGGGCCTTCTCACAGAGCCGGACCCTGGACGACAACGCCTGGGAGAGATTTTTGGAGGCCATTTCTTCAGGAAGACAAGCCGTGCTGACCTTAATCACGCCCTCACAACATTTCACAATTCGGAACCTGCAGGTGATTGCAGCAGAATTGCGCGAGTCAGGGCAATTCTGGATGGTGCGACTCTTTCTCATAGCTTCTTGGCTCAGCTAATTGTGGATGGAAGCGCCCTTACAATGTGTCCCTGAACCGGCGTTTTATAGAATAGTCTTGGTAATTTCTTAGGCCCTACATTATAGTCCCTTCTGGAGCCCCTATAGTAACCCTTATACTTGGAGGGTCGGGGGACTTACTAAGTAGTTATTTTAGAGAGTCATAAGTATCATAACCCCGATTAGCGTCCCTTTTAGGGTATTCATGACTCTTCTCATTACTGACTTACTAAGTCCCCCGACCCTCCAAGTAGACCCCTTAAAAGGAACCCACAAAATAGTGTTGGTCATTATTGCCGAAAGCGGCCCCTTAGACTAGACCCCCCTCTGGACATGTGGCCCCAGGAAACTGCACCGACGATCGCATCTCATCTTGCATGAGCGCCGTGAAATCGGTAGAAGCTGTGCTGAAGAAGGACGCATCTCGGAGGCTATCATGATATATATATATATATATATATACACGTATGCTGGACGTTTTTCGTGTGATCGCGAACGTCGATGCACATGCAGAGGTTATCCACATGCCGGCAGCATTGAAAGCTGGGGAAGCTAGAGAATCACTTTTACCAAAACTATTTTGGGGGTTTCCTTATTATAAGTATATATAGTATAATTGGCCCCAAAACCGTACTCTAATGATCAAGGCCCCTATGTTACCTAGAGCACGATGCCCCGGGGAGATGCCGGAAGCAGTTTCGCCCGAGATGAGCAGGACTGTGGTGTTGGTCGGCGTTTGTCAGAGGACCGGAGATAGGGTGTTCATGCTTCTTCAGACGCCCGGCCCCAGCCCGTGACACAAAAAAGCGGCATCATTCTACCAACATTCATGCGATTGCACAAGTCCCACTGCAAAAAGAATCCCTAAACCCCAAACCGTACATCCAGTTCTGGGTCGAATCAAGCCAAGCTCCGTTTATACACCGAGATAAAGCAGACCCTTGAAGCGAGAGGGTTGCGTCAGCGCATGTTGGCTTCCTTCCTTCCAGGGAGAAGTTCCCTTCTCTTTGGTTCCTTGCAGCGGATCGGGGGGCTTAGAAGGCCTACCTGGACCCCAAAAGTATGTGGAATTATAGCCTTTTAAGGGTATTGGGCCATTATTTTACTTACTTTAGGGGGTTTAGGTAGGAGTCTTTTAATTGGTGCTACCCTGCGGTGCGACTTTGTCAGCTGGGCGGGGGGGGGGGGGGGGGGGGCAACCTTTAACCCTGAAGCCTCTGAAGCTTAGTTACCTGGACCCCGAATGTATTAGAAACATAATAATCAGTGTTTTTTCAGGTATTGGGCCATGAGTTTTACCTTTTTTGGGGGGTTTTCGTACCTGCCCTAAACCCCAAACCCTATTGGATCAGTTTCGCTCCAGATCTTGCCAGGCTTTGTCCGAGTGTGAGTGTCAACGAAGTCCCTCAGCCTAGCTACCCAGACCTTAAAGGATCCAAGAAGTAGATCCCTTAATGGGGGTTCCTATAAAGTACCCCTAGTAGTATAGGGCCCCAATTTAGGGGATCTAATTTCCAGATCCTCCCGGGGGTCTGGGTAATGGATCAGGCGCAGAGGAAAGAGCTGACACGTCTGCGAGAGCGACAGAGTCGGCCGCTAGCTGCAACAAGCCATGTCACTTCAGGTCACTGTAGATACTAGGGTTTAGGGTAGTCGGTCAGTAAGGGAGTACGTCCCACATGTTAGGTGTATCCAATCGTATAATGCATCTTTTTCAGCTTGGAACAGCAACGCAATATATGGCACTGGCCAAGAATAGTCGTCAGAACAATTGAGGTAGCATGAAGCCGTCAAAGATCCTCATAGTGTTTTCCCGATCTGCGCGACCCAGAGGACTTCGGGAGCCCCATAATTATTGTCATAATTACCCCTTTGTAAGTAATTATATGCCTTTAGTCATAGCGTCATACTGCTACCCCCCCCCCCCCCCAACTCTAGTTAATTCCAGAGTAAGGGACTTTAGGCGCTCTCTGGGTACCAGCTACACTCATTTCCCAATGTGTGCATTCAAAAAGTGTTGGCTTGCAGTGAGCTCTGGGTGCTGTGGAAGCCGTCCCCGTGCTGCTGTGAGAGGTTCCAAGCCAGACATCTGCGTGGCGAGTTTTCACCATTGAGCAAGAACGGAAGCCCATCACAGTCCAGGCCAACACCTGTTTTGCATTGCTGTTTCTGCAAGTGTCGCTTCACGACTGAATTGCTGCAGTTACATGCAGTTACAGTCTTTCCGATGATCGTGCAATGCCGAGCCTGAGCAGTGTATGTGTTTGTACACAGTGGAGAGACTTCAAAACGGCCACGCGCTTTATTGTGCGACTTGGCATAAAGTACATGTGAAAGCTCCTGCATGGTTCAGGTCGTCGTGGTTTGGATTTGAAGCAGAAACAAACGGATCAGCAGGCGCAATTTCCTGGTGACATGATGTGTGGAGTGTGAAGTCTGACACCGATAGTCTGTCGGAAGAAAATCACATGCAGATGATGCACTTCCTCCAAGACCGCGTGCCGGTTCTGCCCCGTCACTGCGAGGAGCCTTGCCTGTCCAACTTGCATCGGAAGTCCATTGCCTTTACGCTTTCTGGGTAGGTGCCCGTAAGGGGGAACAAGGACCCTCTAGAGCTTAGTCTATGGACTAGTGATTAGTGCATACGATTATTCATGCTCCTTGTGCATCTGTACCATCCGTGAGCACCGTTTACAAGTTGAAAACCACTCTTCACGAACTTGTTGGAGCTTTCCATTTCTTTGGTGTCCGGGAAGCACTGTTCTCTCAAGGCCGGCTTGGAAAAGTCCTCGATTGCCTTGGTTTGGGTGGAGTACAAGACGTATGCTCAGTTCATCATTTAACTTTGAATCCGAGCAGAAGCTGTCAAATCATTTTGGCTCAAGCAGCGGGATCGGTTTGTCACAAGCGTGCATCCTCGCGATTCTTGCCGGTTGATCGCATCAGCACTCGATGGCGTGGGTCGTGAAGAGCAGGTTCACTTTCATCGAGGTGGAGGAGCGCACGCCTTCTCCGACCCGCTCGAAAAGCGTTCCACCGAGATTGAAGGTCGAAGCGGAAAGCAGCCAGGACAAGTACCTCGCAGAAGTGTTGGGGCACGCAGCAAATTTGCAACCATTGCCCCCGCCTCCGGCTTTGACGCCACCTTCGCCAGTCCTCCTTGCCGAAGTGCCCGAGACGGATTCAGAAGGAGCGGCTGCTCAACGTGTTCCCGGCAGCCTAGGTCATCCAGAATTTTGCCGCAGACCCTGCGTGCTCTTCGTGCGTGGGAACTGTGAAGCTGATTGGGATTGTCTCTACTGCCATCATGCAGAGCATCGCGATGTGTTTCGCCCGACGAAGCGTCTTCGGGAGAAATTGCGTCGACTGAACGTTCCAAGCAAGCTGCTCCTCTTGCGCCACTGCTTAGAGGTCAAAGCGGCCGGAATGCCGCGTGGGTTTCCTTCTATTCAAGCCCTGCGCGACGTCATTGAAGATGCCTGGGCCGTTGCAGACCAGCAGGCAGCCAGTGATGTGAGCTCTCTCCACAGACAGCTGTCCGGGCTGCCGATAAGCGTCTTGCTCGGCCACCAGGTTATCGGTAGCGTCAGTCCCGAACTTTATAACTCGATTCTGCAGGAGTTTGATTTGCTCAAGTTGGCCAGTCCAGCCCCGTTATGAGCTGCCACGGTAACCAACATCAACAACAACAACAACAACACCAACAGCCACTCTTTTCGGTTCTTTCTTTGAGTGTTGGTGGATGATCATGATGCACCTCGGAAAGGGCAGCGTCCCTTTCAGAGGTGCTTGCATGGCAGGACTGGATCGGATCTGACTCATCTGATGTCAGCTCGCCTCAAGCACATCTGTAGCTAAGCCCCAGCTGTGCTCTCAATTCCAGAGGCATGGATTTCTACTTCCACAGGCGTTGTAGCCCCAATGCGTGAACTCAATTGGGTTCTCTTTTTGATGCTCGCAACGGCTCTTTCCGAAGTTCAGATGAGTCAAGGGTTAGGACACAAAGGCTGACGGTGAGCGCCGAATCGATCGATCAAGAGTTTGCTTTGGTTCGCTGCAACGATCGCTCCGGGTAGGGGTTGTTTCCCCTGGAACGGTTTGACCTCCGGGCAGAGCTGGCTAGGTCTCTGTGAGTACAGGGGCGGCATTACACTATAGCTATTAATAAGGAACCCTCCAAAATAGTATTTGTAATGATTTGGGCCATTATATTAAGTTCATTTGATGAGACTTTTGAGGGCAGTGGTTTAAGAGCTTGAGTTTAGGCTTTGACGGCTTGGGGCTTCAGTCACCAGCTGCATCGCTCTATCCAGGAGCAATTTTACATTCTGAGATCGGACAGTCCAGCGCCTTTGAGCTGCCAACATGACATAATGTAGAGGCAAAAAATACCACTACTGTTTTGGGGGTTCCGTATTATAACTATAGTACAGTGTACCCCAAAACCGTATTCTAATGTCCAAGGCCCTTATAGACGAGACCGATACTCTCTGGATGTTAACGAGGCATCTCACACGGAGCGCTGTGACTGGTTCTGATGGCAGCTCCATAAACCAGCCTCAAGCCCGAAGCACAAGCACATTGGCCTTGAACACTAAAGGCATGGAAGTAAAGCAGGGTCTAGGATTTTGGGTTGACGGTGAGCCCGAATCAATCTTTCAGTTTTCTCTCTGGGGCAGGGTTGATGCACTGCCACCATCGCTCCGGGCTGGGTTTTCCTCCTGGAACGGTTTTCTCTCCACAGGGGTGGCAAGGTCTGTTCTCCGTTAACGCTTTTGTGTGACTTTAGCAGGGCTTGGATTGTTGGGAAAGAGTTTAGGCCCAGCTTAGGCCTTTGCTGTTTGGGAGCTTGCTTCCGAGCAGCGACCTTTCCAAGACCGCGGCTTTTCAATGCTGGTGGCGGGAGTAGTGCAATTTCTGCCGGAAAATACTTGAAAGATTGGGATGCCTGTAAACATGGGAGCCAGTGTTTTCAGAACTCGCGTGATGCCCTACCACGCTGCTGCCCAATGCCTCATACCAGCTAAAGGAGCTGAGTCGCCGCATCTTCCGAAGCAATGCTTGGATTACTGCCAGGCTAACTATGCTTACTGTTATTTACTGCTATATTCTATTGTGCTTGTGGTTCAAGCCTGCTTCACATGGAATCGCTTGTTGCGTTTGAGAGTTGTTCTCGAAGCATGAGCAGCCTTGCATTTCTATTTGAAGCACACGCCGCCTCGCTGCTTTTGCTTTCTGTAGAAGAGGTCCGCGCAGTAGCCAGAAAACAGTGTTCTGGTGATGATACAACCTTATAGAACATCGGGGCAATTTCAATCCCAAGCGCCGAGACCCAGCTCACAGAAGGACATTGCACGCTGATGTGTGCGCCAGAGCCGCCGGGCAATGTGCCGAGGTTGCGAGCACAACCTTTGCCCAGCCGTAAGCCCGCACTACGACAACCAGGCTGCACAAAACAACCTCAAGCTCAATTCTTGCGGTATCATGCCAGCTGTGATGCTGCTCGCAGCCTTGGTTTTGGGAACATATGCACATGCCGGCTATCTTTCTGCAGAGGAGGTCCGCGCAGTAGCGTAATTGGTCAACTGAGGGGGTTACAGAAACTCGGATCCCCAAGCCAAGCGCCGAGATCCAACTCGCAGAAGGAAGGTGCATAAAAGTGCGTACTGATGTATCAGCCGTACGCCCCAAGTCTTCTATCGAAATCAAATCGGCACGACGCTGCCCGCAATGCTTGCAGAAACTCGACCATGTGACGCTGTCCCGATCCATAGACACATCTATAGGCGCAGATGGCCCTAAGCACGCATGTTAACCTTTGCATGTTGACTCTTGGTTCATTCTCAGACTTAGACCATGATCCCCTAAGATAGAGCGACAGCACGACCGACGAACAAGCTGCCAGGTTCAATGTAGCTGTTGAAGGTCCTTACACTGGTTCTGGAGCTGCAGTGTTTTTTCGAGGGTCCTTCCTTCGTGGAACCGCTGTAGGACAGGATCGGATTTTTCCTAGAGAGAGATTGAGTTCTATTCGCTGCGGGAAAAGATCTCATTTGAGTTTGGCCGCTGGTGTTGTTGCAGAGGTTTGAGCGTTTGGCCTGATTGCTCAGTGTTTTGGGTGATTCTTTAAAGTCGTGGCATCTTGTGTGGGAGCCTGCATTTGTTTGATGTTTGTTCGCGATGGGAGCATACGGTAAGTAGACTTGATGCCCACGTATTCCAAACTCTGAAACCGTATGCAAGAAGTAACGGGCTTTCGCTAAAGAGTTCCTTGCTTAGCAGGATGCACCCAGCAATGCGGACTTGGCACTTGCGTGGCATCGTATATTTTGTGCAAGCTTGAGGCTTGGGTTCATGACTCGCAGCGCTCACGTGTGGCGAGCCATCACCATTCGTGCAGAGCAAGTGAGGCGAGCTGGGGCAGTCTGTGTCCTCGTTCCACCAAAGCTGGCAGGCCGCCGATCGATCAGGAGTCACGCCGGATAGTGCAGGATGAGGGATTGTTTGTACAAACTTGATCAAATTTACCTGTGCATGAGAGAGAACATGATGTTCTTACATCGATTTTACAGGCAATCAACACTAAGATCATGTAGCACACTGTCCCTATCAAGCTTCATGTTAAGACGGTTCGCATGGACCCCCAACAGGGACAGCAACCTCGCGGCACAAAAACAGCGTGTCCTCTATTCTCGCTGCCAACTGCTGGTCGTATATGCTTGTCCTGACAGTCAATGAAGATGTTAAGTTTTCTTCTCTTGCTGTTCGAGGGTCGTCTACAAAATTGAAGCTCGTCCAGTAGCAGTTCTTGACACCTATAGTAATATAAACAGTCATCCATCATAGATAGAATTTTACCACACTTTAACCATAATAGCAATACTAAGAATAATCGCTTGAAGCTCTGATTGTGTTGGAAGGCTCTGCGCGATCACTGGGAATCGGGGAATCTCTTCCGCAATCCCTGGATGAACACGTCCAAGGATGAGGGGTGCAAAGGCCGCTTGGAATATCGCAGGTTCGGATAATTAGGGGACCTCAAATCGCAAAACCTCGAAACCCGAGACCCCAGATAAAGAGAAATCATCGAGAAACTCCTGTACGTGGTTTGGCTGAAGACATGTCTTCTCCTGCCTGGGGTTCAATTCGACAGGCCAGGATCCAAAGGGCCAACGCGAGTGTCACGTGGGAGTCGGAATACGTAGCAAGTAGTCCCTCCTAAATCTTCTATAGTACATAATGCCCCAAGAATTTAAATCCACGTATAGGCCGCTCCAGAAATAGTAGCTTCTCATTGATGATTGATGGATGCTGGGTATTAGCCGGCCAAAGGGGGCAATGGGACAAGTTTGGGGATACCGGGCGTTACAGGAACCAGAAGTAAGGCATTCTGAAATTCTCAGAGACAGATGCACGAAAGGGCAGGTTTCGAGTTGTAAGCAGGGTCGGTTTCCGTTGGTCCCTCGCCGATCCAGCGGCTTGCATCAGGAAGCCGAGACAGTTCTGCGACATGCTCACGTCGCAGCACATTGGAGGTTGGGGGTGGGAGCAGCTCACAGTTATCGCTTGCTCTTTGCTGACGTTCGTGACGCGGGAAAGAGCTCGCTGTGTTAGTGACAACTTTGTGTTGCACATGGTCGTGCCATGCTCTAGCATTCGTGTAGGTTTCGCAAGCGAGTCGTGCAAATCCACCCACGCGCGCGCGGTTCTCGCTTGGCTTTCGCAGTTCCGTGACTTCGCACCTCAAACCTGATGCGCACGTTTAGCGGCCACTACCAATACCGACATCTTGGACCGACAGTGATGTCCTGAGCCCCAGCTTGCTCGGCATGAAATAATTCCTCATGCAGCGGGTGCAGTCCCTGATTTGGCAGCTGGCGAAGTTCCGGAGTGACACGCAGTCCAGAGGAACCTATGTTCAAGGTAAGCCCGTCTTTGCTGGACCTATCTAGGGCCTACTGTGGGTGTTCTTCGTTAGACGCGCATTGGATTTCCAAGCCCAAAGCCAACGGCTGCCACAGCAATGCGTCACTACAAAAGCTGACATACAGGGTTGGGAAGACTCGCCTGGCGAGCGTCTTATCATCCCCGTTCTGCAGACGCGCAGTGCTGTGCACAAACAAGTAAAAAAGGGCCTTAATCATCGGAATAGGGTTTTGGGGCACATTATACTATAACTGTAAGGAACGCCCAGAGTAGTATTGGTAATTATTTAGGCCTCTACAGTACACAAGAAGACATGCGTTCCAGTGGGTGGTTTCGTCGCGGCTTCGATGTCTCAGAGTGTCCAATACCCCTTCTATCACGGAATATAAAGGAAATCACTATATGACGGCCCCAAGTAATCCGTGATGAAGGGATATACTGCCCTCTGGGCGTTTGACCAGGCAGCCGAGCCAGCGGCGGGTGCAGACAGCTGGTCTGGCTTGAACTTGGTGGCGGAACGGGCTTTGCGGCTTAGGGTTCAGGGAGCCCTGAACACGAAAACCCTCCACCCGAAATCTTAAACCTAAACCCTCAACCTTCTAGGGATCAGGGAGGAGTTGTTGAAGATATTTGAGTTTTGCGGAGATCTACAGGTTTCGGCAGAGTTGGGTTGGATGGCAGCTGATAGCTGAACCAGCACCTCCTTGCGGCGGTCCGCTTCAGTCATTTGTGAATCAGAACGGCTACAAGATCCAACCCTACCTATAGTCTCCATTTTAGTTCCTTTCGGGCCACATGACAAGATCCTATATACATGAAATTGGTTAAACCAAACCAAGAGAGTACAGTGGAGACTATCATACTCTAGGCAAACCCGCATTTCAACTAGAAGCTCTGCAGGACCCAAGACTTGATGATGCAGACCCGCGCCAGGCACCAGGCACTGGATGTTTGTTATGGAGCCGAAGCTGTAGACTTCGCGGGGCTTGTGGTCTCGAGGGTCTATAGAGGCGACACGAACATGATGTCCAGCAGACACGGGACTTTGTGTGGTGTGGTACTCGAAGACTGCTGTGCTGGTGCCAGGTAACCAGAGCTCTATCGAAGACTCCGGCAGATGTATCTCGGATTTCAAGAACGACGCGATGCTCACCGCAGATTCTTGCAAGGATGTAGCAGCATGCTTTATGTTTGGTTCAAACGTTCGGTGGCAGACGGTGTGGTAGCTAGTTGTTACCCAACGTCTTGCATACAAAAAGACGGTGCTTCTTCCTGCTTGTATGCATGGGAGCAGCCTAAGCGCGTCCACGGACATACATCACGCCATGCTGTGCATTTCGGTGGTGGAAACGTCTGGCTGTAAGTACTGTGTCGCTGGCTGAGGATTTGGGATTCAGGAGATCGGGCTAAGGATGAAAACACAGTTTGTCCAGCGCTAATGAATGACATAGCTCAATGTTAAGCTCGTGTTTTGGTGGACGAGTCCGAAACGGCAAAGGGTTGTGCTCATGCAGGGCAAACAGATCGAATACTGCCGAGGAGGCTGGCATTCAGCCGAGTGAGACCCCGTCAACGTGGGTGGAAGACGAGCCGGATGCTGCGGCAGTGCGCTCGCCTGATTGGGAAGAAACAGTTCCAGATGGAGCTGTAAGCACAACTTCGGACAACACATCCCGTGCGCAAAATCTGGACCACCCGCGAAGCTGTGAAAGCGCGTCCTGCAAATCAGCCGTCGTCCACCTCGACTTACAGGGAATGGAAGATGATGATGTGACGCTGGAGAGTCCACCATCAGGAGGAATCGAGGAGCAATCCGCGGAAGGCGATCCCGATGCTAGCCGCGCGCCTGCGCGCTTGGACTTTGTGCCTCCGGACAGCGACGCGGTTTCAGCCACGGCAGCTGCGGAAGAGGCTGGCGGCAGCCTCTCCACCGAGACGCTTGGACAGACAGTTTTGCCGGGCATGTACGTTTGCCCATGACCTGTGCAGTGCTTTGAAGTCGAATTGCAAGAGGCATGATGTCACGTGCTTCAGTTCTTCGCTGATCAGCAGGTCCAACGATCGTCCTGTGCCCGGTTCCCTCAAGCCGACGCCGGTTGCCTGTCACATCTGGCAAGACGGCTGTCGGTTCTTGTTATCATGTGGCATGGTCAAGCCGGGCATTGCAACCAAAGAATAGCTAGATGCACCTTGGAGGCTAGGACAGTGTTCGAGCCGAGAACGAAGAAGCAGCGTAGTCTCAGCCAAGGAATGCGACAGTCCGCCGCAGAGCGTGCTGCCAGCAGAACCTGATGCAGATCGGCAGCAGGTTGGCCAGGCGCGTCGTTTCCGGTCCAGCTATGGTGTCGAGTTGTTTGAAGGCACGTTTGTTACTTTAGATGTAAAAAATCCACACACGCAAGTAATCAGTTCATGTTTCGGCAGACTTGTGCCAAGAGTAGACCAACATGTTCCCCTTGTTTGATCCTGGTGTTCAGCGTGCTTCTGCTACAGAACAGTAAGCTCTGCCCACAGGATGGTGCCATGGAAGCTGCTGCTCCCAACGCCGAAAAGGGCAGGTGCCCGAGTGAGACCCAGTCACCGTGGGTGGAAGACGAGCCGGAAGCTGCTGCAGTGGGCTCGACTGATTGGGAAGAAACACTTCAAGATGGAGACAAGCCGCGAAGCTGCGAAAGCGCGTCCTGCAAATCAGCCGTCGTCCACCTCGACTTACAGGGAATGGAAGATGATGACGTGACGCTGGAAAGTCCACCATCAGGAGGAATCGAGGAGCAATCCGCGGAAGGCGATCCCGATGCTAGCCGCGCACCTGCGCGCTTGGACTTTGTGCCTCCGCACAGCGACGCGGTTTCAGCCACGGCAGCTGCGGAAGAGGCTGGCGGCAGCCTCTCCACCGAGACGCTTGGACAGACAGTTTTGCCGGGCATGTATGTTTTCCTGTGACCTGTGCAGTGCTTTGAAGTCGAATTCCAAGAGGCATGATGTCACGTGCTTCAGTTCTTCGCTGATCAGCAGGTCCAACGATCGTCCTGCGCCCGGTTCCCTCAAGCCGACGCCGGTTGCCTGTCACAACTGGCAAGACGGCTGTCGGTTCTTGTTATCATGTGGCATGGTCAAGCCGGGCATTGCAACCAAAGAACAGCTAGATGCACCTTGGAGGCTAGGACAGTGTTCGAGCCGAGAACGAAGAAGCAGCGTAGTCTCAGCCAAGGAATGCGACAGTCCGCCGCTGAGCGTGCTGCCAGCAGAACCTGATGCAGATCGGCAGGAGGTTGGCCAGGCGCGTCGTTTCCGGTCCAGCTATGGTGTCGAGTTGTTTGAAGGCACGTTTGTTACTTGACATGTGCAACTTCCACACGAGCAAGTAATCAGTTCATGTTTCGGCAGACTTGTGCCAAGAGTAGACCAACATGTTCCCCCTGTTTGATCCTAGTGTTCAGCGTGCTTCTGCTACAGAACAGTAAGCTCTGCCCACAGGATGGTGCCATGGAAGCTGCTGCTCCCAACGCCGAAAAGGGCAGGTGCCCGAGTGAGACCCAGTCACCGTGGGTGGAAGACGAGCCGGAAGCTGCTGCAGTGGGCTCGACTGATTGGGAAGAAACACTTCAAGATGGAGACAAGCCGCGAAGCTGCGAAAGCGCGTCCTGCAAATCAGCCGTCGTCCACCTCAACTCACAGGGAATGGAAGATGATGACGTGACGCTGGAGAGTCCACCATCAGGAGAAATTGAGGAGCAATCCGCCAAAGGGGATGGTGGTGCTAGCCACGCACGTGCTCTGCCTGCGCACAGCGACATGGCTTCAGACATGGCAGCTGCGGAAGAGGCCGGCGGCAGCCTCTCCACCGAGACGCTTGGGCCGCAAGAAGCAGACGTCCGTCTGGGTGGTTGCCATAGGACCTGCGAGGCCGCATTCATGTCTTGCCCGTGCCGTGGCTCTTTAAGTTAAGTGCCCGCGCCTGTTTTGCGGCTTGGCTTGGGCTATGTCGCCTCAGTAAGCTTTCTCTCAGCACATGTAATGTAGGATGTCTTGCGCCCTTTCAGGGTTCCTTATTGGCTACTATATATTACTATATGCTACGATATTACTATAAGGGTTTCGGGATTTGGGGTTTCTTAAGTTAAGGGTCCCCGGATGTCAGCGCTGGAGGCCGGAGTTACTCCCTGCGGCCACGTGCAGTTGCAGCTCCAAGCAGCTCGAGGCCAGTTTGGGGAACACAGCACACACCACAACATACGTATACATGTACATATGTATTCACATCTTGTTAACAAACCTATATACCTGTCAATAAAATATAAATATACGTTATAATATGTATGCATACATTAAACATTAATATACTGGAAATTTCCCTCAATTGAGGCGCGCTTGAATGCAGAGAACAGATACCCTCAAGATACTCCAACGTCCCTCTGTCGGTTTGCTGTTTACATGCTACATGTTAAAGTACAATATCGCTCGATTCGGCGCGGTATAATACAATATATGCTTTAAACTGTAGCAAGACATGGTTCTCCGAAGCTTGATCATCGGCTTCCGGTTACAAACGTTTGTTGATGCCCGTGCCGGATTTTGGATTTTGGAATTCAGGGTTTAGGGCTGACACTGAGAGGTCAGCTGCAAAAGGGTTGACGGGGTTTAGAAACCCGGCTCTGCGACTGACCGGCGGTTTCTGTTGGGCAGATAGCTGGATCTAGTCGACTCCTCCCAGCTTCACCCTCCCCTGCAAAGGCTTGGCGGGATGAGTGCGGATGGAGGGTTTTCTCTAAGTTCAGCGGACTTATCATACTTATCTGGCCACCAAAAGTTAAAAGACGGTTTTGGTCGGTAGATTTGACCTGAGAGCGACTCAAGGAGACGCTCCATGCATCAGAACCAGATTATTATAGGAGATTTTAGTATTATAGGAGTTTCTTACTGGATTATAGGAATTAATATTTATTACCAGGAAATTAGTTGTATAGATATCCAATATTTTAGCTGAATAAATATCTAAGTCATAAGGATCCCAGTATTTTATTTGACTTAATCCATTCATTAGTAATCTCTTATAATGAAGAGAGTTTTGTTGTGTTGTTTTAATTGAAAAGAAACAAGTGGAGGGAAACAAAGCGCGTGTTCTTTTCAATTAAACACACAACGAACGAAGGAAATCTGGGTCCTTTGTGCTGCTTTCTTGCTTTGTTCTGCTTTAATTCAAAAAGATTTCGAGCTTCGAGCCTGTTATGCAGAACCAGACCTATAAAATTTCGAGCTTCGAACCTGTTATGTGATCCGATTCGCCGTCAAGCACGCGACAAAGATAAATGTGCAAACGCATATCCTCAACAACCGCACGATGAGCGTGAGCATAGCGTGCAAAAGCGTTTCATGGAATCCTGGTCTCCGAAGGTCGATGACGTTGGTGGTGCCACGGACCCCACAGAGTCTGGCGTCCCGGCGAAGGGAGTGGAGCTGCAACTCGGTGTGAGCGCCAGCAGGGTCTCTGGGGCTTGTCGAGTGTGGCATAGGCCGCAGGATGAGGGGTTGGATCCTTTCGTCATGGGTCTCAGACCTGACTGAGCATGTGCTCATTCGCCAAGAAGACAGATCATGGGAATTTGCGCTCAGACAGTTTTCTTCGCGCACTTGCGGCCTGAATTTAGTGATCCTGGAATTGTGGAACCCAGGTCCGCGAGTGAGGATTCTCTCGCAGCACAGCGGCCAAAGTCCCTTGACTGCAACCCCATCCCAAAGTAAGCCAATACAGTTGGCAGTGCATTGGAGATGCCAGATGCCTCCCTTGAAAGGCGGCGCAAATAACTCAGTCCAAACAGACATCCCAGAAGGACCAAAAAAAAGCAGAGATTCACCTCAGGGCTGCCGACCTCAATGACTCTGAAAGCCTGAGCCCGCCACGCCCGGATTGTCCAGCTGTGACGATCATCCAGTCTACAGTCTCCGTGGAAACCCTAATCCCTTAACTCTCGGGCTTAGGGTTTAGGGTTTAACCCCAAACCCTATACCCTACAGCCTAAACTCTCGTCCTTGCTAGTAGGAGGGAGAAAGCCCTAAACTCTAAAGTCCTCGTCGTATTCCCCAATAGATAGGACCCCTGAAGATGCAAGGAAGGGCGTTGAATCCGACGACTCTAGCTCAGACGAGGCCCGCACCTGCACGCTCACTTTTTGCGTGTTCTCTTTCTCCTTTTCTCCTTTTCTCTTTCTCCTTCTCTCTCTCTCTCTCTCTCTTTCTCTCTCTCTCTCTCTCTCTCTCTCTCTCTCTCTCTCTCTCTCTCTCTCTCTCTCTCTCTCTCTCTCTCTCTCTCTCTCTCTCACCCTCTCTCTCTCTCTCTCTCTCTCTCTCTCTCTCTCTCTCTCTCTCTCTCTCTCTCTCTCTCTCTCTCTCTCTCTCTCTCTCTCTCTTCTCTCTCTCTCTACTAAATTAAAGATACAGATGTTTTGTATATATAAGTAATGTATGGCTCACCACAGCATACTATACCGTAGCTTTCATTGCCGTGTCATACAGCACCATACCATCCTATTCTATTCTATTCTATTTTGTTCTGTCGTAGTCATAGTCTAAACGACGAACACCTACTTTTTCTTTAAATTTCTACACTTTTCACTATACACTCTTATTACTAGGCTACTAAAGTGTCTTCTAGCTTATGGTGCATTGGTTGTCAATATACGCAATGCCTGCCTAGCAACCGCGGCAGCAGCTACTTCCTTAAGATATATGATAATATATACGACAATAACAATCAGTGACGACTCGGATTGGGATTTGGGGTGTGGCTCCCTGTGGCTGCTGGCTTGCAGCCAGGATGTACCCATGCCTGCCAATTGGGGTACGCCCCGGCAAAAGAGAGGCAGCATCATTCGACCTATCGCAGCTCGGGCACAGCATCTGGATTCTTTCTGGTTCGGCTGTGGCTGCTTAGGTTTCACTGCAATTTGGCGCTTACTACTCGTTGTTGAAGGCTCTTCGGCGGTTTTTTGGCATCGCATACTCGCGCATGTGCAGACTTTAAAGGATAAGTTCCCCAAGTGCCTTCTCTGCAGTGGTGGTGCTGGACCTATCTCTGTGCGAAGCTTTGGAAAAGTGATGTTCAGTTCGATTTCGGGGAATTCAGCTCACACAGGGACAAGCCCAGCCAAGGTCCAAGGCCTGCATTTCACCAATATTTATATTATCATAGCATTACAGCATACTATGATGATGGTAGAATAATCGTATAGTATAATTATGGTGTATAGTATAGAACAAATAGGACTGCATGCACCGAGGCATTGCCGGCCCATCTGCTGCAGCAGGCTAAGGACACCACCGGTTTGACTGACCGTTGAATGGACTGCACTCCCAAAAAGCATTAGTGGGTCAACGACGTCACGGTGTCCCAGCCAACATTGCCGCGTTTGCATGCAATGGCCTTTCGGTCATGCATCTACGTCTTGAAGTCTTTCCAATGTTGGCACCCGCTGATATGCAATCCGGCAGGCCCAATCCCCTCAATGACGCGCGTCTGTGACTGTGTGTCAGAGTCCTATGCCTGCTTACCCTGTAAATGATCAGCTGCAGGCCGCAGGGTACAGCGAGGACACGGGGGTCGTGGAGTTTCGTGTTGGCCGCGATGAAGAGAAGATAGGCCGCTGTTTGCAATGGGCATCGCGGCATGAGGACAGGCAGGCATGTCGCCATGCTCAATAGCGGCACCCGTTCGTGCAGGTTCACTGTTTGACACTACCCAAAGCAGCCCAGAGCTTTACTTCAGGCTAGCAGGCTCGCGCAGTTTAGCTCCTTCGTTTCTGGATCATCCTTGTGGAGGCATCGCGTTCAAGATCTTACCTCCGGCTGGGAACATGGGCAGCAAAATGAAGATGAATTAGCCTGTCAGCTGATTGCTTCTTTCCATTTGTGTTGTACTGCAACACTTTGCCGTCGTCATGTAGGGT